GTAAACATCTTTCTGGTATTCTTTGCCTTGAGCCAAGATCCATCTGACAACAGCTATGATATCCCTTGTTCCACGTCCTCTTCTGAATCCGGCTTGAATCTCTGGAAGTTCTCTGTCAATATACTTTCATACTGCAGCAGTATGAAAGCAGTACTTAAGTAGAAATTTATAGCACTCAATGCTTATAATAGAAAAAAAAATAAAGGTCTCAAATCAATTACCTCAGCTTCTATCCACCTACAAAGAAACTAGAAAATGAAGCTCAGTGTAAGTAGAAAGTAGGGAATAACACAGATTGGAGCAGAAATCAATGAAACAGTAAATAAAAACAAAGAATATCAATGAAACCAAATGTGAGCCCTTGAAAAGATCAGTAAAATTGTGAAACCTCTAGCCAGGCTTACCAGGAAAAAATTACCAACATAGGAATGAGAAAAAAAATGCAGGAATTAGAGAAATGACATTACTGTAGATTCTATAGATAATAAAAGGATTAGGGCATATTATGAACAACTCCATGCCGATAAATTCAACAACTTAGATGAAATGGATAAATTCCTTGAAAGATACAAATTACCAAAGCTCACTCAAGAAGAAATAGATAACCTGAATAACCCTATATCTATTTAGTAGTTAAAAAGCATCCCACAAAGATTCCAGGTCCAAAAGTCTTCACTGTTGAAATCTACCAAACTGCAAGAAATAAATAATATCAATTCTACATAAATGTCCATAAAATTGAAAAGGAGGCAATACTGTCCAACTTACTTTCTGAAGCTGCATTTCTCTGAGAAATCCAGCATTCATTTCAGAGAAAAAAGAAAATTCTCAGCAAACTAGAGATGTAAGGGAAACTCTTCAAACTGATAAAAGGGAATGTCCAAAAAAAAAAAAAAAAAAACAACCTTCAGGTAACATGATAATGGTGAAAGATCCAATGCTTTCCCCAAAGATCCACAACAAGGTTACAATGACTGCTCTCAGGAGTTGTATTCAGCAGTTTGATGGGGTACCAATGACTGAAATAAGGCAAAAATAAAATACAACAAAACAACAAAAGGCATCCAGACTGGAAAGGAAGAAGTAAAATTGCCTTTATTCACAGATGACATGATTATCTATATAGAAGATCTTTAAAAAGCTACTAAAATTAAAATTGAAGTTAACAAAGTTGCAGGATACAAACTCAATATATAAAAATCAACTGTATTTCTATATAGTAGCATTGACCAACAGAAAATTCAGTCAAAGCAACAGCATTTAAAATGGCATGAATGTATGAAACTGTGGGGATAAACCTGACAAAAGATGTACAAGACCTGCATACTGGAAACTACAAACCACTGAGAAACTTAAAAACCTGAGTGAATGGAGAGATCTACCATGCTTATGTATTGGAAGACTCCATAGTCATTTCTCCCCAATATGATCTACGCATATAACATAATCCCAAACTAAATCCCTACTGCTTATTTTGGAAAACAATCAAGCAGTTTTTTAAAAAGGTAAACACACACCTACAACATGATTCAGTCAGTCTGCTCCTAGGAATTACCCCCAGGGAAGAAAAAGACTTGCACACAGACGTTTAAAGCATCTTTATTTGTAATAGGGGAAAAAAAAACTACAGCCAATTCAAATGTCTATCAACATGTGAGTGGGTAAACAAATTATGGTCGTATTTCTATAATTGAATACTGTTCCATAATAATAAAGATATGAACTACTGATACATGCTGTAACATGGATGAACCTCAAAACAAGTATGGCTTTTGAAAGAATTCAGGCAAAATAGAATACATACAATGGTATGGTTCCATTTATATAAAATTCTAGAAAGTGCAAACTAATCTATGTGACAACAAATCAGCGATATGGGGATAGCCAAGGACCGATCACAAGGAAACTTTGGGGGATGATTGATAGATATTCTCATTATCCTGTTGTAGTGATAGTTTCATATGTGCATATATGTACAGTTTATGGTGCGTCAATTATCCCTCAATGAAGCTACTAAAAAATAAACAAACGGAGCCAAAGATCCTTGGAGAAATGCTGAATTTAGGGCTGCAAAGAGGAGCTGAACTTGGGAAGGGCTTCCACTGGCTGAATCTGAAACACTAACTAATGACAGTAACAGAATGGAATCCATTGAATAAAATGAGAATCCAGGTATCTGGACGAATCAACAAGCAAATGGGGAAGAAGGGAAAATGTGTTTAGAGTAGAATGCCAACTAATGAAATGGAGAATGAATGGTGGAAATAGAACATTGCCATTTGACCACTCTCTTAGTAATAAATGGTTCAAAAGAGTAATCGGTGAGTGCTACACTCCCCACAAGATACTCACAACTAATTGCAAAGGGAAAAATAGTTCACTTTTGTTGCTCTGTTTTCTCTTCTGTTGAAAAAAGATCTTAGTAGAAAAACTGGTGAAATTTAAGAATCATCTATAGACTAGATGATAATATTGTATGAACATTAATTTCCTGATTTTGGTGATTATATTGTGGTTATGTAAAAGAATGTCCTTGTTCTTTAGGAAATACCCACAGAAGTAGCAACATGTGGGCAACTTACTTGCAAATGGTTCGGGAAGAAAAGAAAAAAAAAAACGTGAATACATATATAGAGAGGAAAAAAGTGAAAATGGAAGTGTGGTAAAATCTTAACATTGGGGAATATGGGTTAGGGTACACAGGAATCCTTTGAAACTTTTAGGAAATTATTTTGAAACAGGAAATTAAAGAGTAATAACTAAAAGAATAAAAACATTAAGGACAATTTATGAAACAGAAGAAACAAGTAACAGAAAACTCAATGAATCTAATAAATGACAGGAAAGGGAAAAAGACATGACATTTCCACAGAAAGCATGGCAAACTGGAAGCAAAAAGATAATGGCAGGAATACTGCTACATATATCAGCAGTGATAATAAAAACGAATGCATTACACTCACCTATTAATAGACAGATGTTCTGATTGTTTAAAATTGAACAGCTCAAGATCTTGCTATATTCTATTTATAAGAGACATACCTGAAACAAAGTAACTGAGGAAGGTTGAAATAAAGGAATTTAAAAAGTTCTAACAGGCCAATGCTAATAAAAAGAACTCCGACACACAGCAGTCAGTGGCCAGTTGCTGCTGGTCTATTCCAAATGTCCATTCACACCTTCCTCCCTGATAACAGAATACCAACTTTTAGCCAGGACAACCATCTGAAGTAAAAGGCTCCATTCCCCAGTCACTCCTGTAGTTTAGGCCACTTGACTAAGTTCTGCCAGTGAGATGGAAGCGGAATTGTTTGCTGGGACTTCTGGGAATGTCACTTACTAGATTAGACTCATCTGAGACAGGGCCCTTTTTGCCCTCCTACCTTTCCTCTTCTTTCTGGCCCTCAATGGAGATGTGCTGGCTGGAGCTCCAGAAGTCTCGTGGACCATGAGGGGACCTTAGGATGGAAACCATATACCAAGATGGTGAAGCAGAAAGAGCGGAGCCTGGGTCCCTGATGACACTGTAGAGCCCCAGAACACCTATCTCTAGACTTCTTTTACCCGAGAAAGAAAGAATCTTTCTTGTTTAAACTTATTTCTTACTTAAATTGTTTTTCTAATATATGCAGCTGAACCTAATCCTGATAGACAGGAACAATAATATTATTTAAAGAATGCAAGGCATAAATAAATAAATGCATAAATAAATTGAGTCAAAGAGGGCTATTTCATATTGAACAAAGGAAAAACACAGCAGGGAAATATAATAGTTATGAACCTCTATGCACTAACAATATAGCTTCAAAATATATAAAGCAAAACCTGGCTAAACTACGAGAAGTGGGCAAATTTAGTTATATGAGAGATTTATATATTCCTCTCTCAGAAACACACAAACAATGAGGAAGGATATGAGGATTTGTGTAATGCAACTTAACAAGCATATTCTGATAGGGATATAAGAACTTTGAACCCAAGAGACAATACGTATATTTTTCAACTCATATGAAAAAGTCACAAAAATTGACCCTCTTCTAGGTCAGGGAAGCAAACCATTTCTGTGCCAGATAGTAAATATTTTAGGCTTCACGTGACATCGGGTCTCTGTCACAACTATTTAACTCTGAGGTTGTAGCTGGAAAACAGCCATAGACAATATGTAGTTTGAGGACTCCTGTTCTAGGTGACAAAGGAAGTATCAAAACATTTCCACAGGCCACAATCAGTTACCATAATGTAGTTTAAAATTTTAGCATAACAGGAGTTCTGGCAAGATGGTGGACTAGGCAGGACTGCACAGACCCTCTTCAACAAAGAAAAGGGAAACCAATTGACACAGACACAGAAGATAATCTTGGACCCCTGAGCCTTGAAGGGAAGGATACAGAAGTAGACTAAACCCCAACGAGCAGAAGAATTTGCGTGAAAAT